GTGTTGAAATCTAACACAAAAAGAATTATAAAAAAAATTATATTATAAATAAAAATTATCGTATATTATTATTATCACAGTCTATGGAAAAGGTTCCTTCCTTGCAAGATTGAGAACGCAATAAACGGCCCTTTTCAGGAACCCCGCCCCATTTAAATTGTTACCCCTCATTTGGGGACGTGCCTCAGTTGCAGCTAAATGTTGTCAGTAATATTGATTTCTGGTGGGCTGACTTTAAACTTATACTGCTCCAATTGAACGGCAAAAATTCACAGTAATGTAACACCCGGTCGAAGGCAGGTTATACTGCTAGTATAAATATATAAGAACATTAAGTATTTTTCCAGATCATATTATTTTCTCTCTCTCTCTCTCTCTCTCTATATATATATATATATATATATACAATGAAAGAGAAAAAAACAATCTTTGGCGATTCGTTTCGTCTTCTGTAAAATTTTATCGAGTCAAATGTAAGGATTTTATTTTACAAGTTCACATAAAGAAATGTCTTTTAAAATTGTTTGTCTTTATTCATATTGTCTTTTTACTTTTTTTATTTATAACTGAATTTTTACACACACATACATATATATATATATATATATATATATATATATATATATATATATATATATATATATATATATATATAAGGATAAACAATCGCTCTCAAAAAATGCCAAAATACGTAGCAAAAACAACAAACAAAAAGAACGGATTTAATACACACGCGCGCACACACACACACACACACACACACACATACATACATACATACATACATGCACACACATATGCTGACCGAAAGCAACAGTTATTCGGTGAAACGCTTCGTTTAGAGTTTTTCCACAATGCCTGACTATTTCCGCTTTCGTTTCAGATCTTGTTTTACATATGCGTGCGCTTGCCTGTGTTGTGAGTGGAAGACGATAAATCTTGCAACACACTATGACAAAGTAAAAAGTGATAGGTGATAGGTGAAGGAAGATGACTAAAGTAATTTGAATAGTTCATATTCCATGCAGTTGTTAAAAGAGCATTTGATATTAGATACGAGAATGAAAGCGAGATGTTACCAGCAAGTTAGGTTTCAATGTCACGGTCCACATGCAACCGAATAGCTTGACGGATGAAGATGTAACCATATGAGACGATTGGTCAAAATAGCATCCTGATTTCGAACAAATATATAAGTTTGACCGATGAAGCCACACAACTTTGAAGAGCGTCAATTGCCATCTTCTGTTCTATTGAACCCTGTTCATCTTTTGTTCTTTCCTCAATCCTCCTTATACTCAGTTTTCTCTTTCACTTTCACTCCTTGTGTTGTAGTGTCCTCCCTCTAATGAGTCCATTGTGGACTCTGCCACTTACTATAAAATTAGTAGGAAAGTAAGCCTCCGGGGAACAGTCGCATAGACCGTTCATTACTGTCAAACTCTCTGCCTTGAGCAGATAGGAACCCGGACGAGGCTTTGCCGAAGGGCGAAGTTTCGTCCGGGGAGGTAGGCAGGCCCTGAACCTGATTATGCGGGTTCTAAGGGAATATTTTTGGTCGAGCCTACAGGCTCGAAGAAACCACGGTAAAATCGGCCTTGTGCCACATACATCCCTCGTGGGGGGAGACTGTTAAATATTAACAGCAGAGAGGAACCCGGACGAGGCTTTGCAAATAAATCGTGTATTAACACAGTAATTTTCTCCCTTCCTTTAATAATGTCACCCGAAAGCTTGACCGTGAATATAAAAGGAACCAATTGAAAATAAGTAGACAAAACTTGTCTAAATTATTCAATGGAACATATATGAAAACATTCTTCCAAAATATACGCAGTATCTTTGTGTGAGTATATATATATATATATATATATATATATATATATATATATCGGTGTTGGCGGAACTCATTGCCAGGTATTCGGGTGCTCAATGACATTTCATTCTGTGTGAAATGAGTCTTTTGGACCTGAAAAGACGGACGCAGACACCACATGGTATGGAACGAGGTTTCAGGGGATAAAGAGAGCTCTAGCCTTCCTTTGGAATCTCTTCGTCTTCTCTTTGAGTGTTTCGAAGGATATTGTTATTTCGTGGACTGCTCCTCTCCAATTAGTTCTTTCTGCAGCTTCTGCCACTCAAGTGACCAGATCGATTTCTGACCTTAGCAAGGTGTTTTTGAGCTGAAACCTTGAATCGAAGACGTGGGCACTCCGCGTAGTCTTTTGTCAAATGCAAGCTCCGAGAATAGAATTTCTTTAGGTAGGCAGATGTTTGGTATTCGGTCACGGTGCCCGGCCCATCGAGGTCGGTGGTGAGTCATGATGTTTCTAGGCTTTGATCTGGTCCTACCACGTATTACGCAGGATTTGACAAAGTTTCATTTAATGGAATGTTTCAAGTGTGCCAATCTCTTCTCAGTAGAGTACCCAGGTCTGACAGGCGTACAGGAGAGTCGATATCACAACAGCTCCGTAGACCATGTGCTTGATGGTTTGTGTTAGCTCAGGATTACCCAACACTCTTTTGAATAACTTTCGGTATGCTCCGTGAGCGCCCTTGATTTGGTTATCGACGTCCTTTTCAGCGGATGCATTTGATATTAATAAGCTACGAAGACATGGAAGACATTCTTCGGGTCCAGTCCGTTGATCGTGATTTTAACACCAGGTTGTGGTTGATATCCCGGTCGTGGTTGGAGAAGGACCTTGGTCTTTGCCACGTTGTTGATGAGTCCGTCGCCCATTTATGATCAGGAGAAGTTGTCAGCTGAGTTCTAGCGGTATTTATGTTCATGGGCCAGGGTGAAGTTGTCATCGGCGTATTGGAGCTTTGTGACTCGTGTGTTTGGTATTCGTATCCTCGGTCGGGGGCGAACTATGTTTCAAGAGATCACCATCGGTGAAATATCGAATTTCGATTTCAGAGTTGTTATCTGGAATCTCCTGAAGCATTGTCTCCAAGTAGATCGAGAAGTGGGAAGGAGCGAGCATTTACCATTTAAGGCACCGAAAACCGTCAAGCCAAGACATTTGCTTTCCATAATGGAGAAAGGGAATACAGATTTCGGTCGAGAGGCACATTTTCCTTCAGTAAGATTTCTCGACCTAGGCCGATTGGCATTATTTTCACTATTACAGAAAGTAAAAAATAAAAAAAGCAAAAGCGATAGTTATGTCTACTCATACACGTGTAACCACGAAAATATCATTTATAGTTATAAATATTTTCAAGTTAAAAAATCCATTTAAAGTATATGTATTTATATATATATATATACTTTTTTACAATTGGAATTATGATACCTTTAGTAAATAACCATTTTCACCTATGAATTTTAATTTTAAAATTCTGCAGGATTTTTCATGCTGTGTCTGGCATCAGTTTGTAGTGTACTGTTTATTTGGAGAAAGAAAGAGAGAGGGTGTGTTATTGAAGGCCTGTTGGGAATCATATTATGGAGGTGGACGAGCCTGCGAATTTTAAAATTAAAATTCGTAGGTAAAAATGATCATTTACTAAAGGTATTTTAATTCCAATTGTAAAGGAAATTTGCTCTGTTTAATGAAAATAAACATTGAGCGCGCTTTTGTGAGTCAGTTTTAACATATTTCAAATTCTGTGTTCTGTTAATAGGACTTGCCTGGATTATACCAACGGATTACTATATATATATATATATATATATATATATATATATATATCCTAGAAGGCAAACACTAATATTCCAAAAAAAAAAAATTCCATTGGAATCGTAAATGATCAATTCATCAGGCCTACGAATTTGTAGGTCTGATGAATTGGATTATTTACGATTACAATGGAACAAATTATGACCAGGAAATATTAGTGTTTAAGAATCTTTATTTATATATATATATATATATATATATATATATATATATATATCATCCACAGCCAGAGTCATTTATTTACACATCCGTTTAGACATCCGTTGCCTGTACCTGTCGAAACCCGACTGAATTGGCATACAGTCAGGGCATTCTACCACTAAGCCGTTGGGATGAAGGTGAATTTAAGCGTATTTATTTTTAGATAAACACAAAGGGACTGAGAGAACTGGATTCGATTTACCGAAGAGTCTTGCATTATTAGCAGTTTACAAACTCACGCTTCCTACCCAGAGAGCACAACTAAAATAAATTTTTCAGGAGCATATATATTGTTATCCACAGACAGACTGTTTCGCTGCATTACAGCTCATCGGTGTGGCTAGACGTCCGGTTGCCTCTCTCTCTCTCTCTCTATATATATATATATATATATATATATATGATTTTTTATCTTTATATATATTGTTATGGGGTCCACCACTTTTTCATACAAGTGGACTCGACCAGTGTGTATTTGTACTGCTGCCGGTGAATACCCGAGAGGTAGAGTAATAGAGAGAGAGTAAGAGTGTGAGGTAACCGCTTTGTAGGAGTCACAGTTGCGAGCACGTAGACTCGGAAGGAAGTCCTACTTCGATACTGAATTTCCCCGACTGTATATATATTATTATTGCTATTAACCGCGTTTCTGGATCTACTAACCGTATGACCAATTGTATTATTGTTTAAATAAATTTATTTGTTATATTTCATTCCTGTTTTTGTCATTCATTGGAGACCGGATTTCATCTGCGAATGCACAACACACACACACAAACACACAAACACACACACACACATATATATATATATATATATACTTATAAACATACACAGATACATACTTGCGTGAGATAACACGTGATAAGGTATCCAATGAGAAGGAGAAAAATTGAAAAAAAAAAGCATTGTGGTGTGATTGTAATGTCGCTCGTACGACTGAGATTCACCTGCTTCTATTGCTAATGTCGCATTTTGGGGTTAAATATAAAATATTTGGAAAACAAAAGTGAGAAATCGAGATGCTTCTTGGAAAATAACATATTTCAAGAATAATAATCAAAAGTTGTTTCTTATTTCATTCGATTAATATTTTCACGCATACAGCTTCAATCTATCTATCTATCTATCTATCTATTTCAGTCATCATTATCTATGTAACGATGTTTGTATGTATGTATGTATGTATCTATCTATCTATTTCAGTCTTATCATTATGTATGTATGTATGTATGCATGTATGTATGTATGTATCTATCTTAGTTTTATCATTATCTATCTATCTATCTATCTATATATTTCAGTTTTTCATTATCTATCTATCTATTTCAGTCATTATTATCTATCTATCTATATTATCATTATCTATGTATGTATGTATGTATGTATGTATGTATGTATGTATGTATCTGTCTATCTTAGTCTTATCGTTATCTGTCTACCTATTTCTGTTTTTCATTATCTATCTATCTATCTATCTATCTATCTATCTATCTAGGTCTTATCATTATCTTTGTATCTATGTACGTATGTATGCATCTATCTATCTATCTATCTTAGTCTTATCGTTATCTGTCTATCTATCTATTTATTTATCTATCTATTTCAGTTTTTCATTTTCTATCTATCTATCTATCTATCTATCTATCTAAGAAATAACTATAATAAATAAAAATATTATATACATTAAAAAAGTAGATTTTTCCGCCTGTGTATAGTTACACATGCATGCATATATTCAGTTTTGTATGTGATTATTTTGCTACAGTGTGTGGGTTGTGTTAGTGTTGAGGTCTACGCTGGCGCATATTGTGTCAACCAGATATGCTGAAATTTACATCAATATGTATAATTCTATATTCCAATACGAGTATTTTAGTACAGATATTTCCTCAAGATATTTCCGTTTCAGCAATTTAAATAAGAACATGGAACCAAAAACTGGAAGAATCTCATCCTCTAAAGGGAAAATCACGCGAGCAATAAGAAATGCAAATTATAGTATAAATGATGAATTGAATACTTTTGCCATATCTGGTCTCGTGTTTCTGCTATTCATCTCGAAGTTCTTGACAAAATCCAAAGAAGGATCTGCAATGTAATCGATCTTGACCTGGCATCTCGACTTTAGTCATTTTCTTACCGAAGTCTTTTCAACAAATATTTTCATGGCAACTGTTCTGACAAGATTTTTTCCCTGGTGCCGCAACTAGGTGAATTTAAGCATGTTGCTTGACTGGCATCTAGATCCCACCCTTTTACTGTTGAAATAGATAAATGTAACCACTACTTATACTCAATATGTTTTTTCTATCGCACTTCCCGCCTGTGGAACTCCTTTCCGATTACTTGCTTCCATTATAAGTACAAACTTCAGAAATTTAAATGCAATGTCAATCGTCATTTTTCTATCTTCTTGAATCCCGTTCATTTTTTGTCCTTTCCTCAATCCTCCCTATACTCAGTCTTTTCACTCACTTCCATTCTCTGTAACGTCCGACGGACTAGTGGCATTCCCGCCTTGCTTGGGGTGAAATGATTAGAATGATTTATTATGTGCTTGGACAAATGGAGTCGATTTTATTTGAATATCCTTAAGGTTTCAACTTTTATGGGTTTCTCGTAACGCAGGCAAATAAATCAATTACTGAATAGGTTATCCAGCTCACTGAACAGATTTATAAGTTTTATAAAAGTAAACAACACTTGAGGACTATCAACAGTAGCAACAATTAAAATGTAACTCTAAGCGAAAATAATGATATAATCAAGATGTTGACATTCCACACTACTTCAGACAAAATGTTAGGAAGGAAACCCCCATCAATACTGGAAAGAGCAATAATCGAGATGTTGACTTTCCACATTACTTCAGACAAAATGTTAGGAAGGAAACCCCCATCAATACTGGAAAGAGCAATAATCGAGATGTTGACTTTCCACACTACTTCAGACAAAAGGTTAGGAAGGAAACCCCCATCAATACTGGAAAGAGCAATAATCGAGATGTTGACTTTCCACAGTACTTCAAACAAAAAGTTAGGAAGGAAACCCCCATCAATACTGGAAAGAGTAATAATCGAGATGTTGACTTTCCACAGTACTTCAGACAAAAGATTAGGAAGGAAACCCCCATCAATACTGGAAAGAGCAATAATCGAGATGTTGACATTCCACACTACTTCAAACAAAAAGTTAGGAAGGAAACCCCCATCAATACTGGAAAGAGCAATAATCGAGATGTTGACATTCCACAGTACTTCAAACAAAAGGTTAGGAAAGAAACCACATCAATACTGGAAAGAGCAATAATCGAGATGTTGACATTCCACAGTACTTCAAACAAAAGGTTAGGAAAGAAACCCCATCAATACTGGAAAGGAAAGAGATGTTGAATAATCGAACAAATGTTGACATTCCACAGTTGACTTCAAACAAAAAAAAAAGTTAGGAAAGAAACCCCCATCAATACTGGAAAGAGCAATAATCGAGATGTTGACATTTCCAAACAAAAGGTTACCCCATCGATCAAACAAAAGGTTTGACATTCCACAGTACTTCAAAAAAAGAAAAGAAATCAATACTGGAAAGAGCAATAATCGAGATGTTGACATTCCACAGTACTTCAAACAAAAAGTTAAGAAAGAAACCCCCATCAATACTGGAAAGAGCAATAATCGAGATGTTGACATTCCACATTACTTCAAACAAAAAGGTTAGGAAGAAACCCCATCAATACTGGAAAAAGAGCAATAATCGAGATGTTGACATTCCACAGTACTTCAAACAAAAGGTTAGGAAAGAAACCCCATCAATACTGGAAAGACCAATAATCGAGATGTTGACTTTCCACACAGTACTTCAAACAAAAAGGTTAGGAAAGAAACCACATCAATACTGGAAAGAGCAATAATCGAGATGTTGACATTCCACAGTACTTCAAACAAAAAGTTAGGAAGGAAACCCCATCAATTCCACAGTACTGGAAGAAAGCAATAATCGAGATGTTGACATTCCACACTACTTCAAACAAAAGGTTAGGAAAGAAACCACATCAATACTGGAAAGAGCAATAATCGAGATGTTGACATTTTTCAAACAAAAGGTTAGAAAGAAACCACAAAGAGCAATAACTTCAGACAAAAAAAGGTTAGGAAAGAAACCACATCAATACTGGAAAGAGCAATAATCGAGATGTTGACTTTCCACATTACTTCAGACAAAAGGTTAGGAAGGAAACCCCCATCAATACTGGAAAGAGCAATAATCGAGATGTTGACTTTCCACATTACTTCAGACAAAAGGTTAGGAAGGAAACCCCCATCAATACTGGAAAGAGCAATAATCGAGACGTTGAATTCCACATTACTTCAAACAAAAGGTTAGGAAAGAAACCCCCATCAATACTGGAAAGAGCAATAATCGAGATGTTGACTTTCCACATTAGATGTTGACATTCCACAGTACTTCAAACAAAAGGTTAGGAACAAAAAAGAGCAATAATCGTTATGGAAGGAAACCCCCAACAAAAGGTTAGAAAGAAAATAATCGAGATGTTGACTTTCCACATTCCACAGTACTTCAAACAAAAGGTTACAAAAAACCCCCATCGTTAGGAAAGAAACCCCCATCAATACTGGAAAGAGCAATAATCGAGATGTTGACATTCCACAGTACTTCAAACAAAAGGTTAGGAAGGAAACCCCATCAATACTGGAAAGAGCAATAATCGAGACGTTGACTTTCCACATTACTTCAAACAAAAGGTTAGGAAAGAAACCCCCATCAATACTGGAAAGAGCAATAATCGAGATGTTGACATTCCACAGTACTTCAAAAAAGATTAGGAAAGAAACCCCATTACTGGAAAGAGCAATAATCGTTAGGAAAGAAACCCCATCAATACTGGAAAGACCAATAATCGAGATGTTGACATTCCACACTACTTCAAACAAAAGGTTAGGAAAGAAACCACATCAATACTGGAAAGAGCAATAATCGAGATGTTGACATTCCACAGTACTTCAAACAAAAAGTTAGGAAGGAAACCCCCATCAATACTGGAAAGAGCAATAATCGAGATGTTGACTTTCCACACTACTTCAAACAAAAGGTTAGGAAAGAAACCACATCAATACTGGAAAGAGCAATAATCGAGATGTTGACTTTCCACAAAAGGTTCAAAGAAACAAAAGGTTAGGAAGGAAACCCCCATCAAAAAGGTTACTGGAAAGAGCAATAATCGAGATGTTGACTTTCCACATTTCAAACAAAAGACAAAAACCCCATCGTTAAAGGAAGGAAACCCCCATCAATACTGGAAAGAAGAAACCCCAATAATCGAGATGTTGACTTTCCACATTACTTCAAACAAAATGTTAGGAAAAGAAACCCCCATCAATACTGGAAAGAGCAATAATCGAGATGTTGAATTTCCACATTACTTCAAACAAACAAAAAGGTTAGGAAGGAAACCCCATCAATACTGGAAAGAAACCCCCAATAATCGAGATGTTGACATTCCACATTACTTCAGACAAAAGGTTAGGAAAAGAAACCCCATCAATACTGGAAAGTGCAATAATCGAGATGTTGACTTTCCACATTACTTCAGACAAAAAAACAAAAGGAAGGAAACCCCATCAATACTGGAAAGAGCAATAATCGAGATGTTGACATTCCACATTACTTCAAACAAAAGGTTAGGAAGGAAACCCCATCAATACTGGAAAGAGCAATAATCGAGATGTTGACTTTCCACATTACTTCAAACAAAAGGTTAGGAAAGAAACCCCATCAATACTGGAAAGAGCAATAATCGAGATGTTGACTTTCCACATTACTTCAAACAAAAAAGGTTAGGAAGGAAACCCCATCAATACTGGAAAGAGCAATAATCGAGATGTTGACTTTCCACATTACTTCAAACAAAAAGGTTAGGAAGAAAACCCCATCAATACTGGAAAGAGCAATAATCGAGATGTTGACATTCCACATTACTTCAGACAAAATGTTAGGAAAACAAAAAGGAAACCCCATCAATACTGGAAAGAGCAATAATCGAGATGTTGACTTTCCACACTACTTCAAACAAAAGGTTAGGAAAGAAACCACATCAATACTGGAAAGAGCAATAATCGAGATGTTGACATTCCACATTACTTCAAACAAAAAGTTAGGAAGGAAACCCCCATCAATACTGGAAAGAGCAATAATCGAGATGTTGCCTTTTCACATTACTTCAGACAAAATGTTAGGAAGGAAACCCCCATCAATACTGGAAAGAGCAATAATCGAGACGTTGAATTTCCACATTACTTCAGACAAAAGGTTAGGAAGGAAACCCCCATCAATACTGGAAAGAGCAATAATCGAGATGTTGACATTCCACACAAAAAAAAAAGTTAGGAAGTAAACTCCCATCTATACTAAAAAGCACGATAACAGCTACTGAATTTGAGAAAACTATTTTTCTGAAAAATTATGTTAAGAGAAAGATTTTTTTAAAATTTCAACCAAAACCATCAGTGACTGCTTGGTTAATGAATACCAAATATTTCCTTATACGGAAACTGGTAATATGACCGTGTCCCGAAAATTCCTCAAAAAATCACAATGTGTAGATATACAAAGCTTGTGCCTCCAGTAATGT